TTTTCTCTTCAGCTACATCGTGTCGTGATTGTCGTAATCAACATGCATCAGAGACATCATACCCTCTGACCCTCAGTACGGATCGATGGCGAAACGCCTCGATCTGATCTCAACCAATGCATGCAGTTAGATTGAAACTTTCCTCCTGTGTAGACAGGCTCAGGTCAATAGAAGAAAGCTTGACTCACTTCTATCTGTGACATTAGTGGTGCCTTTGAATGACACCCTGCTTCAGTTTTGTCTCTCAGCCTAGCGGCTCTGCTGCTCCTGTGTCAGCCGATTCCAGCTGTGGCCTGGGCTAGCCTGGTGACCTTAATTGACTATTGATGGATCTGGTTTGAAATTGCACAGGCCGTCCCTGTTGCTTTGCACCAGAGCTGTAGGGCTTATGTGGATGAAATTATGTTTTAGATATTCTTTTTCCTATCTTATAACATGATTGCAGAAATACTTCAAGTTCAGGGTTGTGGAAACTTCTTTTTATTTCAGGATGTTTGCATATGGTTTTCTGGTGAAAACATTGCTTTGGCAGAATGGACATTTAATTTAGTAGAAGTAGTGAGGCCAATCCTTCATTTAGTGGTTATGGAAAAGTAACTCCAGGCTTTTTTTTTTCTTTTTTATTGTTGCATAATCGAGGCTTCCAGTCAGAGAAAGAAGCCGAAGCAGAAAACGAGCTATAGAAAAATGCGGTCATATTGCATGGTCATCCCTGGTTGGCACCAGTGTGTGATCATACTGTGAGCTCTACATACTTGTCTGTGTGTGTGAGAGTCGGCAGACATTTCTCACGGTTTGAGGAAGTGCAGAGGCGTCATAGAAATGGCCCTGCTGGAATACGTAGGCAGTAATTTTTTTCTTCTTCCTTTTACGCACAGTAACTCTCCTGTTCTTCCAAAAATCTGCCTTCAGTTACTCTCTGTAGGCTCCTTTCTGGAGAGCGAAGTCTTTCTGACCTCCCTTCATCTTCTTTATTCTCTCGCACTTTGATTTTTAGTCACATTCGCTGAGACTTTATGTTCTGACTGCTCAGTCCTTGGCAAAAACAAACCCACACACATAAACAGGAAAACACACATGTGACAAGATTGTTTGGTGCTTGCTTTCTCATTTGCAAGTCTGCCCATGCAGGCCCTGTTTGTGTCAGAATCAATAACCCTCTTGGAAAATTACCCCAGCCAGCCAGTGAGGGTGAATGATAAGACCAGTAAACATCCGCACTTCTTCCAGTCTCAGTAAAAATGTTGATTTTCTCTTTTTTTTTTCTTTCCCCCCTCTTTAAATTTGAACATATTCTCAGAATATTTGAGGTAAAACAAATCAATTTGATTGACTAAAACTATCAGGAATAAATAATCACTACTTTGGAGTAATACATTTAATTGTTGATTTTTATGTGCGTGTGAAATAGATTTTGTTTCAACCAATCTTTTTCCAGTGCAAGATGATTAAGAGAGGACTGAACATGTGCTGCGGCGGTGGTCGGATCCTTTGTGGTAATTTTGGGGTTAATTTCGGTCCTTCCAAAGACTGCAGGTGTGAGGCAGCACGTACTGCAACCCACTAGTGGATAAATGTGCTTTTAACTGCCAGCTAATGTGGACTTTACCCCTCAGCTCTGCTGCAGTGAGGGAAGGCTGTGGGAGGCAGGTGGAGAGAAACCTCTGAACTGGCCTTTTAAAGGGCCATTTATCTTCTAATACCAGATTTATGCTTGTTTTGCTGCTTCCTAGCAACACTTGTTCAAGATATGATGCCCCTGTGGATCAGGAATATCAAATGATGTATTCCCAGGTTGTGTGTACTGTGTCTTGTATCTTAGCTGAAATTAAATGTTGTCTTTTGACATTTGTCCTTCTGTATGATAGTAATTTCTGTAAAAAGTGTAGTTTCAACCTCAAATCAAACCCTGTAGCACAGCGCAGGAGGGTTTTTCCACCAGCGCTGTGTAGCGCCAGCTCTGTTTCCACCGCCGTAACCTCTGACAGAGAAACCGGTGTTATCTCTTGGCTGTGCCTGAGTAAAGAACCACTTTCGTCAGGAGCTGGAGGCCAGAGACCAATAAAATATTGGGAACTCCTCAATTTTCTTTTTTAGTTCTACGCTTTCTCAGCCAAATTTAAGATGGAAAATGACACAATCTTTTACAAATACATCATCACCATAACGGTATTACACACAACATAAATGGCACTGTTTGAAATGTAAAAGTTGTTGGTTTATATATTCAATTAAAGAAAACCAGTTGAATCTGCTTGTAGTGAAAAGAGGTTTCTGAATGATCTATGTGCGCAGTACCAGCCCTATATGTAGGTGGGGGTGGACTTCAAGTGGGCCTGGGCACTGATAGACTTATCTCCAACAAATCACACTATTGCACAAACTGGCTTTGTGGTTGGGACTTTGTGGTGAGACATAAAAGAGGACCATGATTGTAACTTCAGCATTTGCCTGTTTAAAGTTTAATGCAATGCCACAGTTTTAAGGAGTCATTTTAGAAAAGTTCTTAAGTGGTAATTCTCCTGCTGTTTGTTCAGATATACAATGCAGAGTTTCCTTTGGTTGTAAAGAGCATAAGAGTATCGCAGCCTCCGTGCCATCTGTTCCTGTAAGCTGTCAGTCAGCTGTGTACTGTGGACAAATGAGGGGGGAAAACCCCCTGATTTTTTTCCCCCCCTTTCTAAATGAGGCAAGGTGCTCACATCCCATGACCACACGCTGTTAGCACAAATCGCAAAGCTCGTTAGTGACACAAACGTCATTAGTTTTAATGAATAACTGCTTGTGCTGCCCACCGCTTCACTCCTAAAACTATAAGCCCACATTAGCTTGTCATTAGTGGACAAGGGGTGTAAAGGTTTTAATATGTTGACTTTATTTCAGTTTGACTCTACCAGTCCATGTGTTTGTCAGTCTTCTCCCAACATTTGTTTTATATCGAATTAAAGACTTTCCTCACATAATATTTGTTCCTCTTTGATTTCTTCTGTGGATGCTTGAGTCAGCATCCTGATTAGTTTGTCCTCCCTTTATCTGCCGGTATGAACTGCCAGCAATACTTTTGCTTTCTTCCATTAGTGGCCTGACTCATTATTTTTGAGTGGAAACTTAATTGGCTAGAGAGTCATGCATCCCACTGGATGCTTTTTCCATAGGTTTGATTTGGCAGAGAAAGACAAACATCGAAGAGCACCTGAATGTTTCCAGATCTCTCGGGTAATTCTGAAGTTAAACGGGTCTCCTCAGGATTATAAAGCACCTCTCAGAAGACTCAAACCTGTAAAGAACTGAAACTGTTGACTTTATGTTCCAGTTCTCATCTCAGTTTTGCTATTGAAGTGTTAAAGTCAAACTTGGACTATGTTGGATGCCGTTTTCTTTCCAGCAGAAAACAGTCGGGTGAAATGTATGCGAGGCGTGCCTGTAAAGTCAGAGGTCAGTGTTGTATTTCAAGCTAATGAGCCTTATGGCTGATCCATTTCATCACCAGTCAGATATTGACTGTACTCTGTACTCAGAAGATAGCTGGTCAATGTTCGTGTGAAATCTGGAACGACCGACTTGGATTCCTGGTATTTTTATTGATGATACAGTCTTCGTGAAAACTTTAAAGCTGCCAAACTGGAAGGCCTGGTAGTGTCTGAGGCAGGACATTTTTAAAACCTATTGGAGAATGTACTCCTGCTCTAAATTTGTCTTTATTTAACAGTGGTTGTTGTGGAGACCTTTGACATTTGCAGATTTTTATATTTTACTTTAAACAGTACAGTATAGATACAGTGAAGATACAAGTGTGACATCATACCACTTTTATTTACCAATATGTTACGTCACATTACACTTGAAACTGTAAGAAGTTACCATAAAGCTCTATCTATCTATCACAATAGACATGTGATCAAAATCAATGGAGAATACATCTGGTAGAATATTTATTATATAGAATATTCACTGAACTCTAATCCAGAACCTCACAGCATTTTGGGAGATGTAGGCAGAGGAAAGGCTTTAGCTGCTTAACCTCTCACAGCAAGCTAAGTAAGGTTGGTGGCATCAACTAACTCACTCACTCTTTAGTTACCTAGCAACAACCTGTTGAGTAACTTGCCCACCAGCAGTTTCAGGTTTCGCCACCGTGCCTCATAACTGCTTAGAAAAAAATAAAAAACAGCATGGTGTGAAAACTGCGGATAAAACTGGAAATGTCACACCACCAGTTTGGCAGCATTTCAGATATTTAAAACAAAAAACAAATAAATAATTATCCATATTGTCTGCGATGAAACGCTTATCTTGTGACAAGTTTTCAGCCATTTTGTGCGGCCCTACTGTAGAGTCTGAGCTACACTAGCCCTCCAACTTCATAATGTTAATCTTAAAGTCCATCGAAGATCATCCTACATCACCATCATTAGGTTAATTACTTTCATACCCACCAATGTCCTCTTCTGGAGATGTAACCATAACAACAGCTGATATAACCTGTAACAGCTCAGAAAAATACTATAAACTGCCTGAATTAATCAGAAGCGATCAGAAAATGAGTGGTGGTTATCATGAATTTATTAAGAATTGTTGTGAAATGATGGAAAACATCAGAACATGTAATGACAAATTCAGAAATGTAGCTTACTATGCGTTTGAAATAGCCAAACAATGTTCTTGACAGTTTTGGTATCTTGACCAATCAGAGTACTGGAGAGAATGTGTAATGGCAGCCAGCAAATCATGCATCACTGATATGAAAAAGGGCTCTGCAGACTGTCCGATATTAAAATAGGTCAACAGCATCCAGTGGTTCTTCATGAACGCTGATGTTGTTCTCAAAGATTTAGTTCTTGTGTAACATAAGGTTTTGTCACAGAATCTGTTTAAAATAAATCTTTTTTTTTCTTCATTTTATCTCTCATATCTAAGCCGTCATATTCTTTCCTTGCTCTCTTTAAAAGCTTCACCACTGTGTCATAAACTCCCGCATGTCTCTTTGTGTCCTTCTGCAGGAGACAAAGACGGCAGCAAGGTAACGACAGTAGTGGCCACTCCTGGCCAAGGCCCCGACAGGCCACAGGAGGTCAGCTACACAGACACGAAGGTCATTGGCAACGGATCCTTCGGCGTCGTGTACCAAGCAAAACTCTGCGACTCTGGGGAACTAGTGGCGATAAAGAAGGTCCTACAAGATAAGAGGTTTAAGGTGAGACATGCATGAAAGATGTGCACACAAAAAGGCAAAGGAAAGCAGGATGTGCAAACATCCTCTCGTGTTTAACTTTAGTCATGATGTTTTCTTTCCATCTTGCACAACATGTCCAACACAAACACTTGCTGTGTTAATGTGAATATGCTGATCTTTTACACTTACAGGGAGATTTAAAAAAACAAAAAAACATCCAAAACCAGAGAAAACAACAAAGAAAACATTGTGCTTTTAACTCAATTGCTTGTGTGTGTCAAAGGAATGTGTTTTTTGTGTGTTTGGAATTGCCAGGAGATTTTCTTTCTCTGCCTCTCTAACAAACATGAACTTTTTAATATTTATTTGTTCAGGAGCCTGACAGATTTTCTTCAGCAGTTATAATGACGCTAGTTAGAAGTAATAAAGTTAGATGATCGATGAAACTCGAAGAAAACCTGTTAGAAGCTACAAAAAAAAAAAGTAGAGACTGAGGTGAAGGTTCGTCTTCATCTTTAAAAAACGACCCTAAACACGCCACCACAGCTACAAATGACTAGTTTAGATAAAAGGATATTCACGTTTTAAAATGGTCCAGTCAAAGCCCAAACCTGAATCCAATTTTGAATCTGTTTTTAGAGGGATGTTAATAGAAGCTCTCAATCCCCATTTAAAAGATGTAATAATTAAAATTTGGGTGTTTTTTAAAAATAAAGATAGAGAACAAAAACTCTGTATGATGCAACTGACCAACTGCTTGAAACCTTGAAAATACCTAAGTAAGTGAGTCAACAGTTTTAAACTGCTTTTGAGATGGGATAATTTTAACCATAAAAATGTGACTGAAAACAGCAGCTGCCAGTAAATATTTGGTGGGAATAACTGAGGGAATCATTTGTTTTTGTTTTTATAGTGTTCAAAGGAGGCACATTTTGTCCTATAATGCGTTTCACCAGAACAGTTTACACCTTAGCATAACAGAACGACAACACTGGAAACAATTAGAAATTTTCCAAAAACATTCAATTTACTGATTTTACCATGGATATAAGATATTTCTTTGTTCCTTTTTTCCCCTCTCCGGCTCCTCGGCGTAGATCTGCGCTCACTGCTCTGTCCGAGGTTTTCCAACCTGCAGCTCCATTTGCCACGGTAGCTGTTAAAATTTAGCTGAATCCTGTGGCGCTTTAAGGCAACCGGCTCAGCTTAACGCCTCCGCGGAGCCGTGGCCTATTTTTAACCTTTCTGAGGGTTTGTGCGAGTGCAGCACACTCTGAAACCAGACAAGAAGAATGATGTCACTTAATGATATGGAGGTTGACCATCTGCTGCTGAATTCACAGCGCTTCTCAGACATGCACGCACGCTTCTTGTGACTCTGCATACTGGCTGTGATGAAGTCATATCCTGCTCTCTGTGAGCCTGTGGTTAGTGGGTTGCTTCTTGAAGCAGGCCAGTGATCAGCTGAAGATCACATGCTGTTGTATTGTATAGTTTCCAAGGTTAAGCAGACCCTCTGCATCAGCCCTCCACCCCTCCTGGCTCTCTGAATCCCCCTTTCCTTCTACTCACTCAGCCCCGTCCTCCTCGCCAACAGCTGGTGAGGAAATATGAGGCAAATGAGAGCCAAGACTCTTCACATGACTGTCAAGCATGCGCTATAGTGTGCACACCAAGTTTCACACACAAACAGAACCCATCACCTTCAGATTAATCTTACAGAAGTGTTTTTTCCCCCACGTTTTATTTTTGTTTTTTTCTCATTGACAATTTATTTTTGGTTGCCATGCGAGACTAAAAAGTTTTTTTTTTTTTTTTTTTTTTCCCCACTTACGTGCGAACAAAGCCGAAGTAATCACATGAGTAGGATCTGCATTAGGGTGAAGCTGATGAGACAAAGTGTGAGACGGTTCTGGTGGGGGTTACAGTCTGCTTGTGGTGCATTATGGGATAGGCTCCATCTCCTATTCCCATTTGAGGGATCGCATATCAGCCTATTGGAAAATGGATGCTCACATCAGAATGCTCACTAAGAGCTGGAGCATCAGTGGTGGCAGCTAGTCTTTGGCAACATTAATGAACAATGGCGTTTGCTGTTAGCTCCCAGGTCAGCTGAAGTTCAGGAAATCGGATCAATGCCTCATCAGGCCCTTGATGCGATTGTTTGAAATGAGGAAAAATTGCATTTCTGAGCCTGGCTGCAGATGCATTTCTTCATCACACCCAGGGCAGAAGCTGCAAGTTATTTTGAGGCTGCTGTAAATACTTAATGGAAACCCAAATGTTCATTAATGTGCAACAGACATAAAATAGTTTCTCAGGAAATGCATTAATATCCATTACTTTTACTTTGATGTGATACAAAGTGCAGCACTTTGCTTTTTAAGAAGTTTTTCCTCTTCTTTTAAATTTAAGCAGGAGATCAGAAGCTGTTTGTTTGTAATGCTGATACAGATTTTTATTCTTTGTAAGCTGATTCAACTGTATTACAAGAAGATTTTGGAACAGCACTGAAAATATATATTTTTTCCAACCGTCCTTCCAAGAGCTGTTATTATTCACTTAAATTGGATTATAAAACTTTCAGATAAGCCTGGAAGGAGAAAGAGAATTGATAGTTAAATTAATATGATTAGGGTTGAATGTCTCTAAACCGTAGTTTAATACATTTAAGCATAAAATGGAAATTAAATTGTCTATTTTTTTAAAATTATTATTATTGTTATTATTATCAGCCATTGCGTTAGTGGATTAAGAAATCCAGAACCTGCTGGTCTTGGCCAATGAGAATCTGTCACATACCATAGATAGTATTGACCCATCAGTCTCATTGATAGAAAACTGTTTAATTAATTCAACTCTTAACACAGTGCTGTGACAATAAATGCATTAGCTGTCTCTTTTGGGGGCTTCAGAAAAATACCGGTATATAGATTTAAAAACAGACGAATGAATATGTGGGATGTTTTATTACCACCAAATGAGATGCTTAAGGTTTTAGTCACAGTATTAAAAAAACGATGCCCTCAAGTTATTTTGTGGCTGCATTCAGTTTAATCCTTAAGCAGAAGAGGAAATTGAAGTATGTGTTTGTGTAGGTGATAAGCTTTGGGTCTATGTGCTCAGTCTACTAGATGTGGTTTTGTCCCATCAGCATCATGAAGTGCTCAGCTGTAGCACCCCTTAGCAGCCTGCAATTAGGGCATTTTTTCCCCCTCCAGTTTCCACTGGCTTCGTCTCCCATTTGTGCCACTCTGTGTCTGCGCTGCTGAGACTCTGGTGGACGACGGGTCAGCAGGACGGACTGCAGTACAACAAGAGCTGAGCTGGGCTTTACTCAACAGTCTTCCTGCTCCTCCTCCATATGCTACCATCACCCCTCCGCACATAATGCACACACACATGCTCACGCAGACAAAGACACACCCCGGGACAGTCCAGTGCAAGAAGACGAGGGCGTTGGCTGCAGTGCACAATAGTTCGATGTCTGGTCTGTGACCTACGTGCAGTGATGTCACGTCGTGGTGGGAGTAGTGGGGGGTTCTGAGTGGGTTGGTCGTAGTCAGAAAGACAGGAGGCGGGATGGAGGGGGTTATAGACAATTTAAGTCTGCTTATAAGTGACTCAGAGTATTATCTATACAAGGCTGCTGAGCTATGGTACGCTCTTCAATGCTTTGCTGCTGACACAAAGAAGACCAATACAAAAGATGAACTATGAAGGAAAAACTGACTGAGATGGCTCCAATCCTGATTTGAAGCAGCATCTTTGATATCTCTTCTCTGATTTAGCACTAACTTGAAACTCGATTTGTTTTTGATTTATTCTGATTAAATGCAGAGTTCTTATGCAGTCTGGAAAACTATGAATTTTGATGAAATGTGTCCCGAGTCTGGATTAGTATGGAAAACTAAAACAATAGACATATTTCTATTTCAAGACTTAATGCCTTTTTTAATCTGTCCATCCTTTCATTAGTATATCCATCTGTTCATCCAACCCTGAGAGAAATGGACATTTGTTTCTGGAAGATTTTGACATAAAAATCTGTAAGAACCGTATTTGTGATATTAGTGGTTTATCATATTGTTTATCATTTATCGTAAAAGATTTCTTATGATGAGAATTTTTATTTATCGTTGTCTCAATAAATTCTAATTAATGATGTTTAGAAACCCCAGAAATGTTATTTTACTATGCTCTTCACTGACTCACAAGAGCATGAAAACATATCGGTAAATTTGAACATTTTAAATACATTTAATATGGGCAGTTTAGAGACATAAAACACATTTCTTTGGGTAAATGTTATAATAAAGCCTATTTCAAATGGCAGTTTTTCACAAACAATATTTGTCGGTGGCACTATGAATGCAGACATTCAGTCACAACCATTCAGTTACCTAAAAAATAAGTAACTTTTTTTTTCTTTTATATTTTTTTACTATCACAACAGTGCCACAAAATATTGTGATAAATTTCCATAAAGTCAATTTTACCCTACCCTATATTTAAACAATTATTGCTTTAGGTCTGGACTCAGATATTTCCTTGTTCATTTAGTCATTCATGCAATACTGATGAAATGACGCCATGTTTGTTTCTTCTACTCGTGGGTGAAAATGTCCTACGACACTTTATAACACAAACGCAGAGAAAACCCTCTTAGTTATTTCAATCCACTAGAGATTGTTGTTGGAATCAAAGTCTCACATGTATACAAGACTACTATCAATAAAGTTTCAGATATTATTATGCGTCTCCCAGCAACCAGCAGGCCAAGTGCTCCGTTGCATACGACTCCGACATCAAAGCTGGATTTTTACGCAACCGGCCGGATTCTGACCTCGTTCATGCTCTAAGCTTCCTCGTGTGGTCTTTGGGTTGTTTTCTCTGAATCCGACCACCCTGTATTTGTGTTTTTTTTCCGCACTGGGGTTCTCAGCCTGCAAAGGTTATACAAGCACTTTAGATCAAGCCACCACAAAGCCCTGAGATTAAAGGGAGGAAGAAGGAGAGGAAAATGGAGATTTGTGCTAAAAGTATGATCTGCAAAGGAGCTGTTGGAGCTTTTTCTATTATTTTAAATTCTTCTCCTCACTTGGAAATGCTCTGAGTGTACAGTTACTTTCTGTGGGGATACCGCAATCACCCAGTGATTACATTTTGAATCCAGTTGGCTTCTAGCCAAGCACTTTTCCTCAGAATTTTCTTCTGTGCTAACCAATTGCCATCGTATGCCACTATTGCTGGCTGGCACATTTCTCTGATGTTGTATCTTGTGGGCTTTTAGTTTTTCATAAAGGTTATGCTTATATACCTCAACTCTACTGCAATGGCATATAACAGCTCCATCTCTGTGTTGCGTAGTTATCCATAAAAGAAATTGCCGAGTATTTCTGGTTTAACTGAAAACTGCAGACCTTCCCAAAGACATATTAAAGTAACAAGCCTGATACTTCATGCTGATTCGTCATCATTAAAACGGTTTTATTTCTTATTCTCAGAATCGTGAGCTGCAGATCATGAGGAAGCTGGACCACTGCAACATTGTCCGCCTGCGCTACTTCTTCTACTCCAGTGGAGACAAGGTCAGTCAGAGATGAACATTTCAGCTCCCATTCATCTGGTTGAAGAAGCTGGTTTGATATGTCTGTTGGATCCATAGAGGGGAAGCACGTCTGTAGCCTCCTGCAGCTGTCAGAGTTGTTGGCGAACACAACTCATATGCATGCTTCTTCTTCGAGGAGTCAAGGAATTTGCCATAGATGGTTTTAATATATACTTCTGAAGATTTCAGGACATTGACAAGTATCTCCTCTACTTGTCGTTTTATTCTGTTGTCGTTAGCTATCCAGTGAACACCTGCCTATTCATGGTTTATTCAGTATTCCTGGATTTTTATGTGGAATATAACTAAATTATTTGCTAATTGGCTGTAGCTCCTAGAGAGAAAATAAGAAAAACTGTAGATATAAGCTTCTGTGATGGTGCTAAGATGGTTTCTACTGTTCTTATTAGTGAGCATTAAAGTATAGTTTGTGTTTAAACTATTAAAACTAGCATTTATAAGCATCTTTAGAGGAGAGCTCAAGTGTTTGTGGATTCTGGCTATTTGCCAGACCTTCCCAAAGACAGGCTGTGGTCCCAAACCTCCATGAATACTAGGGGTCCACTAAAATACACTTTCTGATTTAATTTTTTAATTGTTTACTTCAAAATGTGCTCTTTTAGAAATGGGACACATCTTTAACATTCAGTGATTTTCAGAAGTATACACACCGCTAAAACCTGTTGGCATTCAGCTACATTACAACAGACCGCAGTGTATTTTATTGCTACTTTTTGTGGTGGATTATTTTCTTTGAAGTGGAAGAAAAGGGAGACATGGTTTTCACAATATTTGACAAATAAAACTCTGAAACTGGCATGAGTTATGTATTCAGCCCCCTTTACTCATCCAACTCTAAATGACGTGCAGAACAACCAGTTATCTATAGTAGTTTTCTATTAAATAAAAGTTTACTTTATTTCATTTAATCTTAGTGTGAATCCACCTGTTCTGTGAGCGACTCTGAGGTTTGTCAGACATTATTGGACAGTCGGCATCATGAACGGCCAAAGCAGACAGGCCAGGGAGGACGTTGAGCACTGCTTAATGAACCGTCTGAAAACGGAAAGAGCGTGGCACAACAGCAAACATTCCAAAACGTAGCCGCTCATCTAGACAGACTGGCTCGACAAGGATAGCTTTGATCGGAAAAACAGCCAAGTGATCCCTGATAACTCTGGAGGAGCTGCAGAGATGCACCGCTCAGGGAGGAGAAAGGCCTTTTCTAGTCATGTTGACCTGATTCACACCGATGCTCTCACAAATCCTCACACACACACACACACGCACACACACACACACACACACACACAGGTCAGTAGGCAACTTAGAGTCAAGTAATAATGTGTGCATTGATGAGAACAACTTGGGGTAAGGGTTTGAAAAGACAAACCAGTATAAAAAGAGATAATGCATAGCTATATATTGGTAATTGCTGACAGCTACTCTGACTTTTAATTGATTGATGATTTCTTTTTTTTTTCTTTTTTTTCCAAAAAAATAACAGTAGTATTGTAAGTTTTCAAGTGTTTAGGGGGTAGGAGTTAATACGTTTTTACTTCTTCCTACCCATTTTGAGCATGATATGTTAACTGAAACAGATATCTGTATTTTTTTTTCTTCTTTTCTTCTTTTCTATTCACTTTTCTTATTGTGTACTATATTACTTTTTATATTTGTATCATGTTCGAAATAAATTTCAAATTTCAAGTGACAAAATGGGAAAAATTTAGAGTATAAATGCTTTTGGAAGATAACGTATTAAACAATGTATTAGCCAACTAACAATATCTCTGTGTCTATATGCTAAAAACATAAACTCTGAATATTATTAGTCCTAATGCAACCAGTTTGAAAAGTGGACTTGCTATGCTTTTATTTACCTGCGCTTTAAAACAAAAACAAAAAAAAAACAATCAAAAACTGACCTTTTATCTTCTGGTGCTAATTTTCAGGGAAAATAGATGTTGTTGAAGCTTTTAATTGATTACTTTCTCTATGTCAATTAGAATTGTTGTGTGTCTGACTGGCGGTGCGTTTGACAAATCCAACAGCAGATCGCGTCCATCAGGACAGGAAAGTCACCTCTTTGTCTTGCTTTCTATTTCTGTCGACCTGTGGGGGGGTCTCCTGGAGACTGAGAGGCTGGAAGGTGTCATTCAGCCGGCTGACAAACAGGCCCGCCGAGGTCTGCGTGTCAAATATAGACACACATGGGCTTGGCACACACGCTGTGGGGACTATACCCATGACATCGCAACCCGGAATGCTCTCTGCAGCACACCTACCAAAGTTAAAGGAAAGGATTATGGGGTCGTGGGTTTGAGTTGAGTTTTGGTGTGAAGAAAGCTGACTGAGGTGGTTGGGTGGGAATGGGGCGAGGAGGCATAACTTTGTAAGATCAGGGGTTGTTGGTTAATTATAGATTTACTCAAGCTGTCCCCTCTATTCTTTAAACTCCACCTCAGTGCTTCTTCTTACCTCATGTGCTCAGTGACCTCTGGGAATTCATGGCTAATCATTTATTTCCAGAGACTGTTGGACTACCAGAAACAAACGGCCGCTCTCCATGTAACACTTAAAAAGACCTTTTTTTTTTTTTAATCTCAAATTGATTTTGTCATCACATCCATAAAATTCCTGCTTACATTCAGTTCTACCGTGTTGCCTTTCCTGCTCGTTTATCCCCCCCCCATTCCCCCTTCTATCCCCTCTCATCGTGTCACTTGGCTAATTATGGAGACTGGCACCATGTTGTTGGTATGAGGATTTACCACCCATAGAGCCTAGAGTGAGCAGGGAAACAGAAGGGAGGGCTCATGAAGGAGGCGAAAGGTAAAGTCAGTGCTTAGACGATGGATGGAAAGTTACAGACCGGCTGATGGATTGAAGGGTCTTTAATAAGAAGACCCCGAATCATGGAGTGAGAGTTCACACTGGATGCATCTTTCAGGGAGGCAGCTGTCAGACACGCAACTACAGCTGCCACAGCTGTCATTATGTGGACAGGTAGTCTTATGCAATTACTGACATGTGGCAGGCCCGGTGCACATGGTGTGCTTCAGCTTTTACCCTTTAACCTCTTGTATAAGACTATCTAAAATGAAGGCCGCTGTTCCAAATAGCGTGGGCTGTAAGCAAATAGTTGCTTGACTTTTACCTCCTGAGAATATGAAGTTGTAATGCGGCATTCGAGTGGAACGGTCGCCCTTAACGTTATCTGCCTCAAATTAATCATTGCAGTGTAGCTGAGAGCGCAGAGCAGCTCACAATCACACATCTCAACTCTCTCTCATGTGCAAAAGTGCATAATGAAAATACTTTTAGCAGCATGTTTCAAGTACAAGCGATCAGATTTTTATAATGCCAGCATTAAGAGGTAAACAACAACGATCACTTGGGTAAAGGGCACTCCAGTGAGATAATGGGGATGTACTGGTACGAAAATTCTCAACATTAAACTCTTGCTTTTTGGTGTTTGAAATAGCCCTGCCTTCTGCTCGTCTCCGAAGAGAAACACCTGAAAGCTCCATTTCAAGGACAATCAGACCAAACATCTCAAACCAGTAACCATTTAATCCCTACCTCACAAGGACAAGAAGAGCAGGAAAGTAAAATTGATTAATCTGAGCAAGAGCGTTGGACATTCAGTGCCCCTTACCGTCTCGCTGCTTTGGCAGATCGTCGGCATGTTCTAATCCTTCCCACAACTAGTAAAAGCTTATTTTGTCAGCCTTTTTAGAAGAACTGGCACATTTTTAAATAGAAGTATCAGCTATGCAAGTATGTTTAGCTCATAAGGATGGAGCAATGTTTTATGTTTATTGAAAGGACTAAAGTCATACTGAGTCATAAAGAGACTGAGTCATGGTAGTAATGGGCTTATTTCACGTCAGGTTAGAACATCTGTCACCTAGAAAATATATCTGCAGAATGTTTGTTCCATTTATCGAGCCAAGTAAGATAAACATAAAAAAACAAAGTAAAAAAAAAAAATGTTTCATTAGGATTTTGTTGACCAGAATGGAGGCTTCCTTACCATCACTCTAATCTTTAGTGCCTCACCCTGTTTCCTTATTTAATTTAAGTCAGAACTCTGGCTGGGCATGTTGGTAAAAATGGCTATAAACCCAAATTTATCAAGCTTCTCTCATTTGAGCTGAACTGTAAATATTGACACTTTGATATGCAGCGGGGGAAATTTTCGACCTTCCGATTGCCAGATCCCGAGCCACTTTCGCTACCATGCAACTGTTCTTATTTCCTCCGGTCACACCACATTACTCCTACATGTCACGGTAGATGTGATTAATCCGTTTGTGGCTTTCAGAAGACCACAGCTCTTTCTCAGCTCTTACTCCAGAAACCCAGATGTTGGCAGACAGAATGCGAATGAGCAGCATCGCCTCTGGTTAGTCGAGGTCTAGCAAGCCAGTAGAGTTGGCACAAGATTAACTTAGGCAAGTAAACGACAGTGTGAGGCAAACTGTGTCCTCTGCTCATGTTTAGTGATTTATCCTTAGACACAAAGTGTGACATTGGAAGCATCTTCATTAGTGTGTGGCAAAGTGGAGACTCACTCATCGTCCTTCCTTCTCCCTGTCCTTTTGATCTCATTAACATGTACTGCTGTGCTCATTTTCCTTATCATATGGATTCCCATATGCTTCCTGAGAACTGATTCATCCAACGTGTCCATATGACATGAAGCACAACCACACCTGCTGAAATAAGCTCTGCACAACGTTAGTAAAGTATACCTGGAGATTATTATTGATGGGAAAAAAAACAAGCTTTCCCAGTTGTTCAGGTGACTGCGGGCATTTTTCTCCCCAAAATCAGATGCCTTGCTATTTAGCTGGGAGTTAACAAGGAGCCAATCAGGGCTTTGCATGGCAATCCCTCTGGGAAGAAGCCAAGGAAGTGGCTTTGCAGTGAAGCAGGAAGTGAGTCATTGCTGTTGCTAGGCTAAATATAGCAATGATGGCGCTAGCGGGAGGTGGAAAAGGCTCCCCAGTCGTCACAAATGTTATCAATGGAGGGAATGGCTGCAGACGTGCATGTGTGGCTGGGAAAGGGAAGCGCTGACTGCCAAAGTGTGAACATAATTGCAGGAAAATGTTAATCTACAGGTTGTCTTGACTCTGAGTTCTTGGGCTCTTCATCTCATTTCCTTTACTGTCTATTTAACCCAGAGCTCTGTGTAGAAATCACAGAGAGGAGAAATATATGTCCAGTACAGAGACAGTAGTGTTAGATTTCTTTGAGCTATGTAGATCACATGTTGGCGTCTCTGTAGATTAATCTTTCTTTCCACAAATCCATCAGGGTTCTGTAGGAACCCTACAAGTTCCTACAGGTTGTTTTCCTGTAGCTTTTTTTACCTTATGAATTTTCTGACAGCTGACATGTTACTAAGATTACCTGACTGCGTAATGTCTTGCAGCTTGGTAGTCAAACTGGTTCAGATATTGATTTCTGACCCAATAGTCGTTAAAATAGTGTAATTTACGATTTTAATTATTTTTAAAATCAGCTGCTTTCAGGATTCACTTTAAAATATAGAATAATTTGGGATTTATTAATATGTGGATGTAATCAAACATACAGATAGCTAATACTTTTCTTAACCTTTGCAATGACGTTCCCAAAAAAATAACTGTGGTGGCGACTATATTGGTTGGTGCAGCTTCTCATCCATTTGTGTGATGCCACCTGCTCAGCCGAGGTTTAACTCTTACAGTCGAGTTAAAAACTTTTCCATCAACTAACCTAAAACATTAGTCTCTGAAAGTTATCTTTAAAGCACAGAGCTAAATATAGGAAGTCAAACTTTAATTTATTCCCTCACTCGATAAGGGATGAGAGATTGCCGAAGTTTCAAATACTTATTCTAGTGTAATTCCAGTAAATAAAATCATCTTATGTTTACGTCCGTATGTCTCTCTTGTCTGTAAATATTGAAAGCGTCGATAATGAAAAGTCTGGTTTCACATGCTAGCCGTAATGCGATACTTCTACCACAAGGTGGCAGAAATGCATCAGCTGAAGCAGATTACTCGGACAGGGGCTGCACAGATTGCATTGGTTTTCAGTTCATGAGTAATATATTTTATTTAGCTAATTTCTGCAATATTTTGTCTTGAAATGTAGATCCTTACCCACAATAAATATTTAATCGTCACAAAAGCGTTACGAGTCAAGTTGAGTCACTTAAGCTATGAAGGGATGAAATGTGACGTCGTTTCTGACCTCAGAGGAATTGTTTCAGTCATGATTTCAGTGTTTCAGCATTTAGACGGTAAATAGGAAAATGGAGACCTCTGCTGTCCCGTCTCCAACTGTTCCATTTCTGAGTCATAATTTGTAGTTTTTATTTATTAGTCTCCATTAATGGTCCGATGGCTCGGTTTTGAGCAGCTGATGTCGCACTCAGAGGAAAAAGGAAGTGTGACAATAACTGGGTGGAGAACCGTCTGCTCTCCAAGACTTGCTTCATTCTAACCAGGAAGCAAAGAAATGATGTCACTGCCTGTGGCCGCTGGTGAAGCTCCGGCCATTGTGACTCACGCCCGGATGGTTTCTGTCCCTCAGGAAGATACAATGGATTCTCGTATATCCATCCATCCATTTTCTGAACACCCTTGTCCCTCAGTGGGGTCGGGAGGGGTGCTGGTGCCTATCTCCAGCTAACGTTCCGGGCGAGAGGCGGGGTACATCCTGGACAGGTCGCCAGTCTGTCGCAGGGATTCTCGTATAGGATATGAAAATCTGTTTTATCGGCTTGTAAAAGGCAAAAGAGACGGATAACGCACTGAAAAATTTAACAGGCAACTGAGATGAGCCTGGATATGATTTTATATTATTGATACACATCGCTAATGTCTGTTTGTTTTTTCTGATTGTGAGTTTTAACTCGAGTGTCCTTGTTTTTTCTTCTCTTCAACAGAAAGACGAGGTGTATTTGAATCTGGTTTTGGACTACGTTCCCGAGACCGTCTACAGAGTGGCCAGACACTACAGCCGAGCCAAACAGACGCTGCCCATGGTTTATGTTAAGGTAAATATAACCGAGTCTGGGATTTTATTACCATTATGGCAGGAAGAGGCAGACGTCGTTGGTTTTCAGAGACTCTGAAGGGGAGATCTCAAACCAGAGTTGGATTTTTATTCTGACTTTTTCCTTTATTATTTGGTAATTTTATTATAATCATTTATTCTTAGCATCAATTTTCTTTGACTGCTATGTTCATATTTGAATCTTAGTGGATTATGTTTTTTGTTTAAGGCCAAGATGACTCTTGGTCTTGCAGAAATGTTTAACTCCATTTAAGAGATACTTTGAGATCAGGGGCTTTAAATATAAAACACATGATTTGGCCTAAAATTATGTGATTTACTTGAATCACCATTTGACTTTGGATAAGACACAGCGGTGCAGCTGTGTGTATTTTTCTAGTGATCTAAAAATCAAAACGTATTTGTTTTTCTCTAGACCTGGTTACCAGCTGATTTCTTAATTAGCCTGATATAAACAAAGTGATGCTTCCCTAAGAACACACATTGGTTAAACATGCAAAAATAGATAAAATACAGGAAATAAGTGGAACATTGTGTTGTTTAGAGTCAAGCCTTTAAATCGTTTGTAGGTATTGTGTACCATCATTTATGCGTTTTACTTCTGCTTTGGTTCAAAATTATTTGTGTAACAGAAAATACTGCTAAGATCACATGTAGCAAAATTAGCAAAGATAGATCTATCTTGTCATGGTTTTTTAAAAACTTTTTATTCAGTTTTTTTCTATTTAAGCTGGTAAATGTCCACATCTTCTTTCATTCAACATTAGTTGATTGACATTGACTGCAGCTGCAACTTTGCAATTGATGAAACTCGTCCTGTTTTATCTCTGCAAGGCACAGTTAACAGTGTTCCTTTAAAAAAGGCAGCGTGACAGGATAATAAAACGTCCTGTGTTTGACCGGACTGAAATAACATCCCTGTGTGTTTTTTTTTTTTTACCTGCTATAAACCTTGTAATGTCAGGTGGCTGCTTGTTCTGCAGTTGTGACCCGTCTGCTTGTCTTCTTCTCTGCGTAGTTGTACATGTACCAGCTGTTCAGGAGCCTGGCTTACATCCATTCGTTTGGGATCTGCCATCGGGACATTAAGCCCCAGAATCTGCTGCTCGACCCAGAGACGGCTGTCCTCAAGCTCTGCGACTTTGGCAGGTGAGACGCAGTCATGCTGTTAACATGGATGCAGGTTAATCGGCGCGTCCACTGAATTAACAGGTCTGAAACAGAGTAGACTACGCTGTAGGGAAAAAAAAACAAAGATACAGAGTTAACCAAGGAAACCCAATCTGTTGTCTCAACCCAAAAGTAAGCAGCGCTTCAATGTTGCTAATGTGTCAACAAATATCTTTTAACAATACTTTCAGGCTAGACTTGATTGCCGCACATCTGCCTCATTTGTTAAACTACAGAGGCAGTGAGAAGGTTTAAATTGATCTGCCTGTTATGTGCCACTGAGTCGGCAACGGAGGCAGTCACGGAGCCATATTGGCATTTATGTATGAAGTGGGGGGTCGATGGGTGCAGCACGCTGCTCTAATCAACAATGCTGTTGTCACTCAGCTGAGCACACAGTGCCGACTTGCTCTGTGTAAGTACATACTGAGCGCAGCTCTGTTGGGCTGATTGAATTGTCACTGTCAATTTAATTTAAAAAGCATTTTGTTAACATGCACAAGCTGCACCAAAGTGCTGTGTGTGAAAATTTAACAAATCAAGATGTAAACGATACTATGCACCAGTTCAAACGCAAAGGGTGAGGACGGAAAGAAAAGAAAAAGCTACTGACTAAATGGTAATAAAGTCATTAGACGAAAAACACATTAGTTACAATTTAGCTGTCAAGCTAAGTGGTGTGACTGGAGAGGTGGGGGGTCTTTATTCCACATCTGAATAAGTATGTTAAAAACAAAGTAGAGTATGGAAACTAGTTGTTTCCTCTACAGTTTCCATAATACAAACGTCTCAATTTCTCCAAGCAATATCTTGATTAAATGTTTCAGATCATCAAATTACTACGAGAACGTTAACCAGAGAACACATAAAGTGCAGTTTTCAAATGATAAAAAAAAACAAAAAAGGATTCCCAGTGTGAATAGTCGCCTTGTTGACCCACTAATTAAATGCAATTAATCATCAATTATGAAGTCACTTAAAGAAATCACTTACAGAAAACCCATCTGATAACATGAAGCATATTTAAACATCTCAAAAATGTAAACCTTCATGTCCTGGTCTAAACAAATTAAGAACAGAAACAAAGAGACCCACATCCGTCAGTCTGAAATGTGTTAAAATGTTGTTTCTGAAGCTTTTGGATGCCATCAAATCCGCAGTAAGAGCCTTTATTATCATGTGGAGAAAATATGAAACGGTGGGCAACTTTCTCACCGAAATTACTTCAAGAGCAAATTTGTGATTTGTCCAGGAGGAGGCCTCTGAAGAAATCACTGCAGGCCTAATTTATCTATTAAAATTAATGTTCATGATTTAACTAGAAATAGAGAGAGAGAGCAAAAATGTCATCTGTGGTGAAACCCTTGCTGACCCAAACAACACTAAAGAAACTTTTTTTTCTTTTTCTTTTTTTAAAGCTCCAATTCGTTTTAGAAATATAGTTACAAGGCAGAAGTGGACCTTTTTACATCTGGTGTGAAACTAACCAGAGAACATTCTGGTTACATCATGGTGGTAGTGTGATGGTCTGCGGTTCCTATACTGGTCATAATTCTCCTCTTTAGGATAAAACCACAGCCATCAGTATACCTTTAAGCTCATTTTCACTTGGACACCAGAAAGTCTGAATGGCTCGGAAAACCTCACAAATGACCAGAAAATCAACTTATTAATCTGATTTTGAGTTTAGATCTTGAAACATTTAAGAGTTTTTTTTTTTTTTTTTTTTCTTTCTACGTTAAAGATCTGGGCATCAAGAACCTAGGATTATCATTCTGTCTTTAGGGAACGGATGTGTCGGCTTGTTTCACTTATTTCGTCATGTCTGCTGAGGGCTCTGCTCCCTTTGCAAAAAAATCTCACAGCCCCCCCCCCCTTCACACATCAAATCCCAGTTTAGCCCCTGTGCCTATAAATACACTCTGATCACACTGGTTTCATGTTCCTCTCTTTTTGGCAGAAGTGGGTGGTGATTCTGACCACGATGTGCTTTTATTGTGTGTGCAGCGCGAAGCAGCTGGTCCGTGGAGAGCCCAACGTGTCCTACATCTGCTCTCGCTACTACCGGGCCCCCGAGCTCATCTTTGGTGCCACTGACTACACCTCCAGCATAGGTACGCCCACCCCAGCTGACCCAGCCAGTCTTAGGGATCTGGCTGTGTGTGTGTGTGTGTGTGTGTGTGTGTGTGTGTTGTGGTGTCTGACCTGTTTTTCTTATTATTGACCCCTCCTTGACTCTCCCTCTAACGCCTGCAGATGTGTGGTCAGCTGGCTGCGTCCTGGCAGAGCTGCTGTTAGGACAGCCAATCTTCCCTGGGGACAGTGGGGTGGATCAGCTTGTGGAAATTATTAAGGTGAGAATCAGCCGGCCGCGCTGAGCTCACTCTGCTTGAGCGAGCGGGACTTGGATTCCAGGACTAAAAGGCTGTTGAGGTTAACAACGCTCCGCTGTTTCTTTTCAGGTTCTCGGTACTCCAACTCGAGAACAGATCCGCGAGATGAACCCCAACTACACTGAGTTCAAATTCCCCCAGATCAAGGCCCACCCTTGGACTAAGGTGAGTCAGCAGGTACAGCAGCACTTTTACTTCTACGTTCTTCTGCTGCCACATCCCACCGCTTTTGTTCTGCCATCCCATCATCTAACATCCGTCCACCGGAGCCGCATGCTGATTTAAGAGCTCCTCTGTTAGCTGCTCGCATTCACTAAACTCATTTTTTTTAAATGTAGGTTTTAGTTTACTGCTCTTGTGTTTCGTTTTTTTGTCATTGCATGTTGAACATCATCATGCATAAGACTGTGACATGTTAATCTACTGGCCACTTTATAAGGTACACCTGGCTAGTTCTGGATCCCTCCTTTTCCCTTCGGTGCAGATTTCTCTTCTGCACGTTCATCATGCAAATCTTCTGTTACAACAACAGTGCAACGGGTGACTACGAGGTTTATATCATGGAACATTAACCTGGTGTAGGTGCTTGTTTAGTACTAAAGTACTCAAGGAAATATCAATCACACCATCATCCATACTTTCCTGTGGTTCACTCCAATTTCTGGAGCAGCAGGTATTTGTCCCCTGCTGCTGTAGCTCATCTGCTTGTAACAAGTGATTTAGTAATTTTTTAATTGGCTATTTAAAAAAAAAAAAAAAAAAAAAAAAAAAACCCTTCTCTACAAACCATAAAAGTTTGCGTGTGAAAATCCCAGCAGATCAAATATCCACACAAACAAGCATGGCACATTCAAAGTCACCCAAATCCCTTTGAACAAAAGTCTTCTGCGCTTGGATTTCTAAAATGTTCTGAGATTCTGCCATGTGACTGAGTAAATTGCTGTTTGTGTTAGAAAGCGATTAAACAGATGTACCTAATGAAGTGGCCCGTGAATATTAGTGTTTTTATATTAAGCCTGCTCTGTTGTTGTCTTGCTCACCTTTGCCTGTGTTTGGTAACATAAGTACAGCATTTAGCTGAGTGTATTATGCAAACAGACTTGAATCATCCCTAATGCCTTGGTGTGTTAGATCCAGTGAGATAAGCTGTCTTTTAAATGTCTTTTAAATGTTACAGATCTTTCTTCAGACTTTCTAAAAGTCTTTAAGTTTTTCTGAGGAGCTTTGCTGATTTTTCTCTCGTTTCAGAACAGATCCTGACCATTTTCATGGAAATGATTTTTGTTTTTCAAGACACACGACACCTTTTTGACCAATCTATAGCGAAGATCAAGTAGATCAATTTGACAAACGTAGAATAGTATTTACTCTTACATAGTCGATGTTCAGCGAAATGATGATGGATCTCTGGGTTCCTCCATCAGATCTTGTTCTTGAAGACTGTTTAATGGCTTTCAGATATTGTTCAGACTGAATACTGCTTCAGTATTTGAAAATCTGGAAAAGTTTGGTGTTTTGTCCTGGAGAAATACTAAGAAAAAAGAAAGTATCAGAAAATATTTTAGTTTCTAGGTTATTTTCCCCGTTCCATTTCCCAAAAAATGAATCTGAATTGAAAGAACAAAGAATGGAGCAGAGTGATTTACACATTGCTTATATATAAAATGTACAAACCCCAAGTTTTACTCTATTGCCACATATGTATAATAAATGTGTGAAGAAAAAAAACAAACATGTAAAACATTGCATAAATGTAGCATACCATGTAAATAAAAAGGCTCTTTGGTAAATATCACAGATTTTTAAGGCTGACATTTAGTATACATAACACATCTTTAAATTATTTGCTGGTTCCCATTTTAATTTACATAAAGTCATCATTATGTAAGACAAAATGATAAAAAATGTAGAATAAAGATCAGTAACTATGTTGAATTTAACAACTACTCTGAATGGAGACATTTAGATAGAAGATTATAGCCATAATAACGTCACATTTCCTAAAGAAATGTTTACTACAAAACAGGAAATGTTGAGCTGACATGAGCTAAGTAAATGTAAAGTAAATGTAAATAGAAAGGTAAGAGTGTGAACTTTATTTGTTAAATTATAAGTGATGACTGTTTTTTTTTTTTTAAGTGCGTTTCATTGAAGAACCCGCTATCCAGAGATTAAGACTAAGCTAATAAAAGCTTGGCTTTGACCCAGAGGGGTAGTTTTATTTTAATGAATAAAATGTGAAATGTTGAGCCTGGATCAGTTTGGGACCTTAAAAAGAAACGTGTGCATTAAATCTGCGAGAAACTGACGTGTCAAAGTCGGGAAGCTTATTAAACTTGAAATCAATTGTTTCTGAAAATGGTCAGGTGCAAGTATTTGGATAACAATGAGCTGAAATTGTGTCTGATATTCAGGTAGACGACTTTTAAAGATGCCAAGCAAACCTGATTAAAAACCCTGAGCCCAAAATGTAAAGAAATGAGGGATTATTCAGGACTGTATGCACTGTGCAGCATTTCATGTTAACTGAAAAATGTGATTCTGTGATAATTTTTTATGAAAAACCATTTGAACAGCAGGACAAGAAAACACTCATTAAGCTAAAACTGAAACTTCTTATTATTGTGGTTATTATTATTATCATAATTATTATTATTATTATTATTATTATTAACAACCATTACTATCAGGTTGGGGAAGAAAATGGTTTTGTGAGCAAAGTTGGATCAGCAACCCTTTTCACACAGCTGGTTTCTATCAGTATTTCTGCAGGTTGTGGTTAAGGATCGACTCTTTACTTTTATCTTGTACAGTGAGACACAGACAGTAAATATGAGGCTGTAAGGAGTGGGTGGACATTATCTCCATTCCTCACACAAAGCTCTTACTTTATAAATTTAGCCTCCAATCAACAGGCAGCCGCTGGCCTTTCTGTTCTGCAGGGATCCTACGCAGTCTGGAAAAACAGAATGAATGCGTTTTTAGTGTTTTCCCAAGCCTGGATAATAAAGGAAAAAGAAAATAAGAGAATGGAAATATATATATATATATATATATATATATATATATATATATATATATCTGCCCTTTCTTTCCTTATGTCCTTCTGTCTTTAGTTCCTGCTATCCTTGCTTTCCTTCCCCTCTTCCTTTCTTTCCTTGTCTTTCAATCCTCACTTCCTTCCGTTTCTTTCTTTCCTTCCTTGTCTCCTTCCTTCCTTCTTTCCTTTCTTAATTCCAGTTTCTGATGTTTCCAGGTTCATCGCTGAGAAATTGATTGTAGAATAATATAAATTCCTCCATGGACGTGTGGGACCCATGTTGGGGTCGTTCTCTGCAGCTGCCCTCAAAGTGCCAGCTCACAGAAACGTTTAAATTGTTTCCCCTGGTTGTACCTTAGCTGTCCAGACGTCTGCCTCCACGGCGATAACGACCAGTCTTAACACGTTGATGCTGTCTCTGACTGCTGTCCAGGTCTTCCGGCCTCGCACCCCTCCGGAGGCCATCGCCCTCTGCTCTCGCCTGCTGGAGTACACGCCCACGGCGCGCCTCACCCCTCTGGAGGCCTGCGCTCACTCCTTCTTTGATGAGCTGCGTGACCCCAACATCAAGCTGCCCAACGGCAGAGAGAAGCCCTCGCTCTTCAACTTCACCACCCAGGGTACGCTCCAGACACTCCCCGCCTCCTCTCTCTGGAAGTTTTCCTATTTCCTGATTCTTCCGCGTTCAGCTTTTCCTCCGGTTAATCCCGTGCTTCCGTGCGCACTGCTCATGGAAATGTTCATTTTTGACAGATCTGAGTGTCTCTCCAGGGTTTAGTGAAGCTGTGCAGCAGCATGACCTGATAACTTCTGTTCATTATCTTTCAGAGCTGTCTAGTAATCCCTCTCTGGCCTCCATACTCATCCCTGCCCACGCCCGCAACCAGGCTGTCGCCTCGACACCAACCAACGCGTCTGCCACCACAGGTCAGAGCCGCACTTCTTTCAGCAGACTTTCCTCACCATTAGCAACTTACAAGCTAATTCTCTAGTGAATTACTGAAATAAAAATTTCAATGATTTATTAAAATGCACCTGTAAGGTTAGGTAGATTTCAGACTGTGGTTGACAATTGATGACTCCAGAACTCATGATTATTAGTTATAATTTTCACATGCTATAATCACACTGGTCAGTCTCTGCCTTACTTATTGTTTTAACGTTATTATACTATGGCTAAACGAGGCTATAGTGAGCAGAGGCTACACTTTGATAGATTAATTATAAGTAGAAAATGTTTAATTAAAAAGTCAATTAGAGCATTAGGTTAGTGTTTGTCAGCTACTTTGTAGTTGTTGTAATGATCCTTCTTGGTAATGTTGGAAAGCTTTTCTATTTCAATTTATTCATTTTCCTCACATTAGTGAGGAAAATTTCCAAATCCTCTCTGCCAACTCCCAGAAGCTTGTGGTGGAGGAAGTATCATGCTGTGGGACAGGATCTACCTGTGCAGTTCAACACAACCATTCTGACCCAAGTTGCAAAAACTAACAGATAAAGAATGGGACGGCGTCCCACAGTAGTGTGTGATCAGTATAAGGAGACGCCAAGCAGTAGTCGGCAGCAGAGTTACATGTTGAGCTTTGACAGGTGTTTCAAAACAATACGTTTTATTTCTAAGAAGCATTTAAACATAGAAAAAAACAGAACTAACATTTCTACAGTTTTTTTCTTCTTTCTTTTAATCAGTTTCTCTCAGCTAACATTCACCGACCTTCTTCCTGCCCACAGATGGCAGCAGCACGGAGCGAGGTCCCAACACCACCACCGCCTCCGCCTCAGCCTCCAACTCCACCTCTTGAGCCTGCAGACCCCACTCGCCCCCCACGCCCTGGTCTCAGCCCCCGGCCCACAACCCCCTCTCCATTGCGCCCCCCCTGGCCAGGGGTGAGCTGCGATCAGCTCTGCTCCTGGCGGCGGCGCGGCGATGCTGCAGCGGCCCGGGGCTCAGCGGCGACACGACCACACGAACCCAGCCACCCTGACCTCCACCTCTGACCCCCAGCTGTCTGAACTGTCCTCCACCCCTCCTGTGCTCCCTTCGACAGGGAATCATAGGGGCAGAAGCGTTGCCGACTACAAGTATACTAAACATGTATACTCGATGGTAACCTCCTAACATTTGTAAGAGGACAATCTGTAAAAAAAAAAAAAAAAAAAGTCCTTTGCTGCCCCTCGTCGCCTCCTGACTGCCCCTCCCTCGTTATCGTACCACATCTCTGCATCCACCCCCTCCTCCTCTGGTTCCTCCTGTAGTGCATGACCCAAGTACAGAAGGACCAACCGGAGAGGGGGGGCCTGCCACGACCTTTCACCTCCGCAGACAAGGCATGAGGCTCATGCACGCGTATTACACACACTCAGACACACGCTCATCCTCTCGCACACGTTGATGCATGATGACGTCCGCCGGAAGAAGCTCTGCAGATCGGGTGGTTTATTTCTTTCGCCTGGGGTTTTTAATTCTAGCAGCCTGTTTTACTCATCTTTTTATTTTAATTCTTTTTTTTTTTTCTCTACTCCTGGGCAGCGTTTTGGTGGAGGGGAGGGAGAGGTGTGCGACGACGGATGTGATGTGTATCTGCTTCCTGTGTGCTTGTATAATATATACATACAGTGCAAAACGAGCATACACACAGTTTATATAATACTTTTCTTTCTGTATAAAAAGTATATATAGATAAATGTATAATAACTACAATGGTTCAGAAATCATTTATGGTGAGCTCATATCTGGCAGCGTAGCGGCAATATTTGCCGCTGCCTAAAGACAAATCTGGATGAGTTGATGTTTTGTTTGTTGCTCCTGTTCTTGCTGGAAGCGTTGGAGTCCAGCAGCAGCTTCGCTCCTCTCCTGTGTTGCGTGTATTAAAGGCTGTAGGTGGATTTAGAGCGCCTGCTTTATTCCTTTTTGCCTTGGACTCCGTAACGGTGCGACGGTGCAACGTCTCGACGAACCGGTTCTCCTGTCAGCATCCGCCTCTCTCTTCCAGATGATCACAGGTTTTTTTTTTTTTTTGGTTTTTTTTGTTTGTTTGTTTGTTTTGTTTGTTTCCCAGCGAGCGCGCTCCTTAAAGTGTTAACCACCCTTTGTCCTCGCAGCATAGTGCATAGAGAGCTGCTCGGTACAGTCCAGATGTGTTTATTTACCAAGAACACTCACTACATTAAAAAAAAAACAAAAAAAAAAAAACAATTTGTATATACAGTATAAATGCTCCTCACCAAAATTCTGACTTGTACGTCTTGTATCTTGTTTTTTATGTTACGATTATTCTTTTTTTTCTTCCCATGTTGTGTTTAAGGTATGTATATATGCTGACCCATGTACTGTTTATGAGCGAAAACAAAGAGTTGGGAAAGAAAAGAAGAAAAAAAAAAAGAATCAGGGCTGAACTGATATTGTTTATGGATATTGTTAGATGACGATGATCAGCTTTATCCAGCCATATGTTCAATTTTACCTGTACAGTACAGTAGATGACAGCTGTATTATTGTAACAAGAACTAGTCATGTATAGTGTAACTATAGTTTGGAGTGCCTTTGCTTTCATACACCTTCGCCTTGTCTCCTCCATTACCCCCGTCCCTCGATGTCGTGACTCCCCCCCTCGGTGCTGTCGAACTGCGTCCCGCCACATGAGCCTCCACCTCCTCCTCGCCCCCGTCCTTCATCGCACACGTTTTGGATTATACAGACATTAATTGTAAGGATCCCCCCCAACCCCCCACATCACCTCCACCCCACAGCTGAAGATACGATATAGACAGGTGTTTATTTTGATAGATGTTTTATCACGGGCACGCACGTGGACCGATGAGGCAGCAGGAGGCCTCGCTTACTGTAAATATAGACTACAGTAGAGATTCAGTATCGCTCACAGTGTTGGTTCTGTTACCAAAGCCGAACGTTGACGTAGTTGTGATGAGCCATCCTCAGAGGCAATAACTCTCTGTTCTTTTTCTCCTCCCCTCTGTCTGGATGTTTCTGTCGTCTCTGGGCTGCATATCTTGAAACGTAGACAGGGAGGGTTGGGGTAGGACTCAGTAGCACCTAAGGGGGGGTCGAGTCATGTAGCCTATCTCCCACGTCTCCTGCTTGCTGTAATTTTGCATTCATGAACGTGTTGCTTCCCTCCACCAGAAGGTTTGACCACTGTACCCCAACCCTTAACACCCAGTTCAATAAAAACAAAACGGTTACCAAAAACAGAAAAAAAAACAAGTATATCTACTAGTATAAGTCATACTAGCATTTATACTGGCCATATGCTAACTGGGGTTAAAGAGACAGAAACAAAGTAAAAGAAAAAAATACAACAAATACATCCTGTATAACAGTACTACTACTTGAATGCCTCTGTTTGTGACTGAAAATTTTTTTGTTTTGATTTTTTTTTTTCCTTTCGTTTCTGTGAAGGTATGCTAAATGTTGCGCCTCTGTAAATATTCCCTCTGCGTGCTCCGAGGAATAGTTCCCTGGTACTGTAATTTGCAACAAATAAAGAGTAGGATAGCCTGGAAATGATCAAGGAATTTGTCTGCCTGGTTTTCCTTTTAGTGCTAGCTGTGTATATCTGGCACAACCAGTAAAATGAACAGGACAATCTGGATTATTTTACAATAAAAGGGCTCATTTAAGGCAGCTGCGTGAGAACCCTTCCAGAAAGTATGGCTACAACCGTTGCTGTATTTGTGTGGGAAAAAAATATCTACTAATGTGAAACAGAAGAGGACAATAATTTACGTACAAAAATAAATTTAATCTCTCTGAGTCTAAAGAAGTTATATTCCTAATTCAAGGTTTGCTGCCACCTACAGTCGACCTGATCGGAAAGCTTCAAACTGGAACCTTTAAAGCCTGACATGACATGAACAAATCAACTGAAACAACAAAAAAATCTGATGCTTAATTCAAGAACCTTTTGATAGAGTTAATGGACTCACTTAGTCATTGATTTAAATTGTCCTCAGATATCTTAAGTATAATTAACTAGTAAGTAAGCTTAAGTCAATTTGAAGTAGGTTTGCAAAGGCATCAGCCAGGAGAAGGCATGAACAAATTCCACAGCTTTACGCCAAGGCACAGGAAAACTCAATCAATACATGGAGAAAATAAGTGGTTTTGTATAAATGTTCCTCAACTCTGAAGAAATCCCTGTGACATTTTGTGCCATTTTGCTTTTAATCAAACCGTTTTGGTTGTGTTGAATATCCCTGAATTTAAAAAGTATTTTTTCTGAACTGTCCTCTTAGTACTTTAATACCTGAACCTGCCCACTGGTTAAGGAAAAAAGAGATGGAGGTCATTTGGATCCCATGAGTTTTTTTTTTTACTTTGGCGGGGTCACATTGACTCCACGTGTGCTTTTACAAGTTTTTTCGTGGCTTTAGGAACTGATGGTCTGATGGAAGCTTTAAACTATGTCCGCTGGAGGGTTAAATAAAGCTGTATTAAAATAATTTGGACATGAAAATTGCAATATTAATATTTAATTCCATATTTCTCAGCATAAATCAATATTCTTACAGCAGACTCCTGCCTATTCAATTAAATTTTGCAGACAAATTAGCATATTTTTTAGTAGGAGACAAAATATCTGAAAGAAAATGTGGCTTGGGCAGCTGAAATGCCGAGACGAATGCAACTTGACAAACTATTGGCTTAGGTTTGCAAAGCAGGAGCTGCGTTTACCTTCCTTGGCACTGAGATGTTTCTTGCATGAAACATTTCTTACATGACAACTTCTGCAAAGGTTGCATGAAAGCAACACTTTCTATGTTTTTGATGAGGGAATAACACAACACTATATAAAGGTTAAAAAAAAAAAAGTCAATTTTGCTTTGTATAAACTATTAAAATAGACACCGGCGCTTTCAGGTGGGGTTCGTAGAATTCGGCTGTGGTTCTTCATCCCCAGTTAGCCACCAGGTGGCGCCACATTTCCCCCTCATTTAGAACATGCAGTTAGATTTTGTTTTCTGCATGGGTGCTTTACTGAATTAAGTGTTAATTGATGTGGGATAACTGAGTGAATTAAAAGAAGAGTTTTCCATTTTAGGGGACCAACTGCTTTAGTTAAAAAGTGGAGCTTGGTGAATGTAAAAGACCCAAAGATTTTGTGAGTTTTAAATTGCTTATTTTCTGATTTAGATTTTACTAAAACAGCTTAAATCCTCAGTCACCTGGGACATGTTAATCTTCTGAGCTTTAGGTAAAGACAGCTGGACTTCTTGTTGTTTCATCTTTCAGCCAAAAGGATTCAGAAACCTGGATTGGAAGTGTCGAGCTTAGAAACAACAACAGTGATAGGGCAATAGAGATGACCACTGATGTCACAGACTAATGTGACCTCCATGACCTCGTTAATGATCACGTCAGTGAGCTCTATTGTCCTGTAAGTGTGGCTGTTTCTGATTACCGTTTATAAGCCCGATTCTTCCAAGCCGAGTTTCAGAACTGAATAAACCTTATGAACGAGAAGTTATTTAAAACCTCACAAGATTAGAAATTAATCATTCAAAAACAATTCTAGTTCAATCAAAATTTATAATCAAGCTTAATGTATTTATTGTTGCAGATATTTTTTGTTAAGAGCACAAAGCCTAATTCATGAGACAATGTCTGAAATGACAGTTTGTTGATGTTGCTGAGACTCAATCTGTGCCTGGATGTTTTGTTCTGTATTTTAAAGGAGAATGTGCTGCCTTTGTAAGCCAAATTCTGCCTGTGATTGGCTGACCAGCACCTCCTGATCCCTCCGTACCCAGAAGTGTGCTCCTGAGCTGGGCTGTGTTCAGACAGTCTGAACCCTGGAGCACATAAAGCCTGATCAGTCTGTGAGATTTGGTTACATTAAATGTTTGAGTTTGCGTCTTAATCTAGTTTATGTTTGTCTATCGTGTAAAGCTGAACAAGTGTCCATTCTTTCTTCCGTTTAGGAATCGTTGAGCCGCCACTTCCTGTAAGAGCATTTTGATTTTGAATCCCACTCAGTTCAAAGTACCATGACATCCAGAATCAAACGTCTTGCAGTTTCGGAGTTTAAAGAGGTGTGAAAACAACACGAGATCCAACCTGCATCTGTAACGGCGCAACTTTAAGTCACAGCAGAAGATCTGGTTCTTTCCTTTACTGGAGGTCATGTCATGAAAGGTCACAGATCCTGGTAGTTCAAAGACTTGGAATTTGGTCTTCCTTTTAATTTTCCCTCTTACGTGAAAGTCGGACATCAGAACTCAAAGTCAGATAAACCCATGATGAACTTTAACTCTTTAATCAGTTTAGATAATATTTTGAAAGCTCTCTATCCAACGTCTGTCCTTTTCATCAACGCGTAGAGTAGAAGCAGTGTGGCATTTTTGCTTGTGGCTTTCTTTGCCCAATTTAATTAGTCAACAAATCTAATTAATCTGATTAATAATTAGTTTCATTTATGCCCTGATTATTACTTCTCTATGATTCATTCATTAACCTTTAAATGACATCTTCATTGTGGCTTAATCAATGTCCTGAAAAATAAAAAAAGCACAGAAAGCTACTTGTGTTTTTTTTTTTGTTTTTTTCATGTGAAAAAGATTCTTCAGATTGATTCGATATCACCAGACAGCCTGACTTTTGAGGGGTTTATGAACCGTAATATAAATTAACACATCTTAATCAGGCTACATAATAACAGATTTCAAACAGCAACTTTACTGTTCAGTTCTATTTACAATAAGTGTTAAACTTCTGTCTTACAGAGCACAACAAACACAAAACGGAACACAACCTGAGGTAACAAGCGAGACGGTATAAATGTTTCCAGAAGACGGTTTCCATTTGCGTCCTGAGCAGTCTCCATTCTGAGTGCAGTGAAAATCATCGTAAACATCAAAACTCGTTTCGTCTCAAAAATGCCACAACAAAAGCACCTGAAACCAGCAGATCGGTGAGTCTGTAAAGCTCGCTTCTGCCCAGCGAATGCTTTGAAATTGTGCAAAAAGCAGATGGCTTCATCACGTTTCCTGTGTGCCTCACATAGCAGCGAATCAAAGGGCACCTTCAGTTCCCCCCCCCCAAAAGGCTAAATAAGAGCCGAATGCTGGAAGTGGCCAGTGTCGGGCCTCAGACGTTGTTGCAGGGGTTTTTACTGACCACCTCCATGATGAGCGGAGAGATGGTGTCGGGCTGCACGTCCTGGATCTGCAGAATCTGCTTGCTGTACTCCTCCGTCATCGTTCTCATCTCCGTGAGGTAGGCGATCATTTTGGGATACAGCAGGCTGGAAAGGTTTGCAAATATGTGAAGAGGTTCGACAGATAAAATGTTTAACCGTGGGTTTTCACTCACTGTTTCTTTGGGCCTTTTTTCTTGCAGTCGATCCAGGCTTTCAGAGTTTCCGCCAGGTTTTCTTGAACTCTATCGATGGCGGCGTGATGCTGCACTCCGGGACGATCTGGTGGATTGAATTTTAATGGAAAAATCTAAATATATGCAAATATTTTCACGTTCATCTGTGCGGCTGCAAGCGTAGGCAGTTTGTAAGGTTTAAATATTTACAGGGCTCATTAATGATTGATTGGAGCAGAGGTTCTGCCGCTACCTGGCGAAAACAGCGATATGGCCTGGATGAGGGCGTACTCCTCCTCCTGCAGGTCCAGTTTGCGCAGATTGTGGTGAAATTTGAAGAGGGGCTCAAGCAGGAGCGGCTGGAAACCCCCTGGGAGAACGTGAGGAAAAAAACAGGTCAACGAACGGCAACGAGATGCGACGAGGTGGCACACATTCAACCTGAACTGCATGAAAACATGGAATTATAATCGAGCAAAAACAAAATAATAATTGCCTTGTAAAGGATGTATAAAATGACGTGGTTTTAAAAAACCTTTAGGAACAATAAACAATAGACATTCCCTAGAAAGTAATTCAAGCATTTTAAAATTCTTTTTTTTTTTTTTTTTTTTTTTTTTTAAACCCTTTTTGGAAAACTTTTTTTTTTAAAAATTTTTTTTTTTTTTTTTTTTTTCATAAACCCTTTTTGGAAAACTTTTTTTTTTAAAAATTTTTTTT